GTTTGCACATAATAGGGCACCTCAGGGGTTGAGGACTCCTCTGCTTGAGTGCCTGAGGGCCCCGTTCCTGCCTCTACCTGGCCCAGGGCAGGGCCTGACAGGCCTTATAAGACCTGCTGCTGCCCAGCAAGGACTGGGGTATTTTGAGGGAAGTTTTGTTGGGAGTTTTTGCTCCTGTTACAGATATTAACGATATTAACTTTTTGTATCTTTATTTTTATGTGGAAATTGTTCAGTTTGGTTATGTAGTTTTTAATGTGTTTTGTTTATTTTTATGACTACTTTGCTATGTTTGTAATTATGTAAATCTTTTCATATTGTAAGCCGCCTTGAGCATTGTTTTAACTGTGGAAAGGCAGAATACAAATAAAAAACTATGATGATGATGATGATGATGAGGGATCCCACGGGTATCTGCAGGGCTCCCCCCCCCCCCCAGCAGATGCAGGGTGTAAAGGACTTCTTACTTGCTTTTTCCCTAAATTAAGAAGCCCCCAATGCTGCAACCTTTCTTCTAGGAGAGTCACTCCATCCCTTTGATCATTTCAGTTGCCCTTCTCTGAACTTCTCCGGAGACCAATGAGGAGGAAGCCCAACAGTCCATGCCATCCCCCAGACAGGTTGTAAATAGAAAAGCAGGCAGGTGGCGGCTGGCAGAGGGCAGACTGGGGTTGATAAGGCTGTGCTCCACTCACCCCAGTGGACTAGTCTCCAAGGAACGGAATTCCACACAATATACGGAAATGAATTGTGAGTCATTGCCTTTTAAACTGATTGCCAAGTGTCCTATTTCAAATAAATACTGCACTCTTCCTCCTCCTCCGCTGCACCGCTTTTCTATTGTACACCGAAGAGCAAACTGGATTCCTGCAAAAAAGGAAGAAGTGATTTCTTGTCCTTTGTCTTTTTTCCCCCCTTTGGATGGCAGGGTGCTAAGTGTTCCGCTAATGGCTCTCATTTGGCCCAAAGAAGGCAGCGCATTTACATGCAGTAGATTTAGGAGCATTATGAAAATGACGTGTTTATGAGCCTGCATTAGAAGGAAAAGAGGGCATTAATGTTTCATTTTTTTCAAATAAGTCAGGAAATTACTAAGTAAAAGATTGTAACCACAGTAATAACTCAACTTCTTTGGTACAACTGGAGCCGATCCAGCAGCACTTAGTCATGTGAAGGCGTGGAATGCTTTGGGCTCGAGCATGAATAAGTAGGATCAGGGCCCTGAAATATATTGCCACTCCTGATGTAAAATATCGGTCTAGTTGCGGGCTGGGGAAGGAACAGGGGGAGCAGGAGGATGGAATGCCCGCAGCATAATAGGCAACTTTAGCATGTTTTTAAAACCTGAATGAGATCAGAGAATGAGCCATAAAACTAATTTGTGACCACCTAGAATAGATCCATGTTAAACTTGAAAGAAGTAAGTATAAAATGGGATTCAACAGCAGTCACTCATGGGTCAATTGCAATTCAGCATCCTCATGAATAGCTTGAAAGTGGGACACTATGGATGCTTAAATATGATGGGGTTATAAAACTAGGAAAGGCTCCAGATACTTTAGAGCAGTGTTTCCCAACCTTTTTTGGGCAAAGGCACACTTGTTTGATGAAAAAAATCTCGAGGCACACCACCATTACAGCCCCGTGACGTCAGCGCGCAGCGTCGCGCCGGGAAGGGACGCACGAAAGTGTAAGTTTCAATTTTTTCCCCTCCCCTCCTGTGTAAAGGGGAATGCACTCTGCTAAGTAAAGGCACTTGCCACAGCAGCGTCAACGTCACAGCACCCACCGACACCCAAGAGAGAAGGGGTCTCAGCAGCCCTTTTGCCAGGAAGAGGAGCAAGAACGAGAGGAGGAGGAGGAAGAGGAAGAGAGTCCCCCCCCAAAAAAAACATTCTCCTTTTGATCTTCCTTATTTGCAATTTCTCATTGCAAAACAGCGGTTGATATAGAGCTGGTTTTTTTGTTATTACAGTCCCCACCCCCTCACCTAGAAAAACACCCCCTGTCAATTTTATTATCATCATTATTATTATTATTATTCCCCGCCACTCTGGGAGGCTGAAGCCCTTTAAGGCTTCCTTCTGTCCACTCTCTGTGAATTACCTGCCCGGAGCGGGTTTCTGGGGGGGGGGGCGCTGCTGCCGGTGTCCTCCCCGTCGAGTCTCGCCTTGCCCGGCGCGTGGCGGCCGCCCTTTCCCACACTCTGCCGGCTGCGCTGCCAAGCCCCGCGGCTCGGCCTGTCAGCGTTACCGGGCTCAGCGGGCGGTAATTCCCGAAGAAAGCCGGCGGCGCTTGAAGAGCTGGCAAGCCCCCATTTGCATGTCTGTTTTCCGCAGCCCTTGGAGAGGATTAAGTTCCCTCCTTCCTGCCGGGGAACCTCCAAGCTTTGGGGGTGGGGGGGGGAGGAGGCAGCAAAGCGAGGCAGGAAGGAGAGCGCGGCTTGGCTGGGTGAGCTTTGGCAGGGGCAGGGAATGAGAGCCGCGAGGCGGGCGCTGCGGGCGGAAGCGCTGCCCGCCGAGCTCGCAGGCAGCCAGGCAGGCAGACGGCGAGAGCCCCGCGCTGGGCGGCCTCTCCTCGCCGCCGCCGCCCCGCCTCTCGCCGCCCGACTCGCCCGCCTCCCTCCCACGGAGGTAGGCTGGTGTGCCGTGGGAGGGAGGCGGGCGAGTCAGGCGGCGAGAGGCGGGGCGGCAGCGGCGAGCACACGCGGGGCGGCGAGCGAGCTCCCTCCCACATCCCATCGCCGCTCGCTTCGGCCGGCCTACTGGGCTGTCGCAGGCGGAAGGCCTGCGCATGCGCGAGGTTTTCGTGCCTTCCTCCAGTAGGCCGGCCGAAGCGAGTGGCGATGGGATGTGGGAGGGAGCTCGCTCGCCACCCCGCGTGTGCTCGCCGCCGCCGCCCCGCCTCTCGCCGCCCGACTCGCCCGCCTCCCTCCCACGGAACACAAGGCAACGTTCCGCGGCACACTAGTGTGCCGCGGAACACCGGTTGGGAAACACTGCTTTAGAGTACATACGGGCATCACATATGCTACACATCACTCTTTGGGGTCTTCAAGGCAGGATCTCAAGCCACCTGTCTCATTCACTTCTCCCTGCCACTGATTTTTGCTGCCTCCTCCAAGTTCACATGCTGCTGTCCTCTGCCTGCATAGCCTGCTAAAGATCTGTTTTGTGAAATGGGAAGGATGTAGGATGGCAGGGCCATCCCTGCATGCCGCCTTTCCCATGTAAACCATACTCTCCCCTCCCCACAAAACAACTGTTAGGCTTGCTAATGAGAACAGAATTGTCATGGGGAAGAGGCTAAACTGTTCCTTTCCAATATTCATCCTCCAATGTGTGTGAGAGGGAGTGAATTTTCATGCCCACAATCTCGATCCTGTACTGTTTACTCAGAAATAAGCCTCACTCCCATCAAGAGGACTTGCTCCCAAGTAAGCATGTATAGGATTGTAACCATAAAGTGGGAAACATGACATTTTGAGGCTGCTTGTTATCATTTTTTATGTGTCTCGCGCCACGTTGTCAGTTAATCTTTAGGGACTTTTCTAGGTTAAAGAGGGAATTGAAATCAAAACCATAAACTGCTGGCCAGGTGTAGAGCCCAGGAGACCCCAGAGGACAGCCCCTACCATTTCCTCCCAAAGGGGTGCGAACAGACCAGCAGCACTTCCTATTTGCCAAGATGCAGCTGTAGCGGTGGCAGATCTGGCCTCAAAGGAGCACACCATAGCCATTGACAGAAGCAGGAGGGGATGCATTCCATGGCAGACAGATCCACACACCCCAGCCCCATGGATCCTGCCACCTGAGGCAGTCTTCTCACCATGTCTCATGGGTGGGCCAGCCCAGACTACAATGGTACCATGGTTCTCGAACTTAATCCGTTCCGGAAGTCCATTCGACTCCCAAAACCATTCAAAAACCAATGTGTGGCTTCTGATGGGCTGCAGGAGCTTCCTGCACTCAAGCAGAAGCTGCGTCGGACATTCAGCTTCCGAAAAACGTTCGAAAACCCGAACACTTACTTCTGAGTTTTTGGCGTTCGAGAACCAAGGTAAGGAGGTAAAGATAAAGAACCCCTGGATGGTTAAGTCCAGTCAAAGGTGACTATGGGGTTGCGGCACTCATCTCGCTTTCAGGCTGAGGGAGCTGGTATTTGTCCACAGACAGCTTTCCAGCTCATGTGGTCAGCATGACTAAACCGCTTCTGGCGCAATGGAACACCGTGACGGAAACCAGAGCGCATGGAAACGCCGTTTACATTCCCACCACTGTGGTACCTATTTATCTACTTGCACTGGTGTGCTTTCGAACTGCTAGGAAGGCAGGATCTGACACAGAGCAATAGGAGCTCACCCCGTTCTATGGATTCAAACCACCAACCTTCTGATCGGCAAGCCCAAGGGGCTATGGGGCAAGCCCAAGAGGCCCAATATACAGTAAGCCTGAAACTTACAAATGGGTTATGTTTCCGGGATCAGACCTGAAGCCAAAATCGCATATAGTCAAAACACATTGGGTTCAATGCTGGGCAGGATTAACCCAAATTATTTTTGTCCCAGTCGCCCACCACCTTTCAATTTTTCTTGCTTTCTTTTGGCAAGCACATAAAGCTGAATCCAAATACGTTAAATGCGCTTAAATCGCAGGCTTGCTGCGTATGATTTTAACTGGGAGGGTGTGCATATCCTTCTATTCAGTTATTGCATTTAATATCCCACCTCTTTCTCCAAGGAGCTCGAGGTCGTACAAGCATTCTTCATCCACCCCCACCCCCCCAAACCCTCGTTCAATCGCAGGTCATGCTGAAGGAGGCAGCAACTCCCACTCCGCCATTTCCCCACCCTTGAAATAAAAAACCACGCGGACGCCCGCGCCTCCGCCGGTCACGTGCCACTCCGCCCAGCGAAAGGGAAGCCCCTCCCACTCCACGTGAGTGGCGTGAAGGGAGGCGCGGCGATGACGCGCGTTGATACTGCCCGGCGAGAAACGCTAGAGCTGTCGTCATCGCCGCGCGCCACCCGCGGAAACGGTTGCTATGGGTTTAACGGCTGTGGCGGCGCGAGGGAGCCGCGCTCGGCCCTTACGGCCTCTGTTGAGCGCCGGTCTCCGGGCTCTGTCGGCGTCGGCTGCCCGGGCGCGGCCTCGCGGGCTGATCTACGAGCAGCATGGGGAGCCGGCTCAGGTCCTAAAGTAAGGGAGGGAACTGTTTGGGCTGGGCCGGGCGTCCGCTTTTCCATGGAGACAGCAGGTGCGGTGGGGAGAAGCCACGTCCACACAGCCCAACGGCGCTATAGACGTCTGCTTGGAAGTGAAAAGGCCCCGCTGTGTTCCGTAGGGTTAGTGGGGGGCCTGCGTTATATAGCTCAGGGCGTCCTGGGTTTGCAGCCTCAGAATGGGCAAGAATTAAGCTGGTGGAGCGGGAAACCACTACCGCACCAGTGCATCGCGCGGGCTGGGGGAGGCTGCACCTGTTGAATTTCTGCCTTTCACGTAGGTATGGCATGGCATGATGGCAAGAAGCACCAGGGCGAGGGGAGGCTGGAGAAAGAGAATACAGTGGTGCCTCGGGTTACAGACGCTTCAGGTTACAGACTCCGCTAACCCAGAAATAGTACCTCGGGTTAAGAACTTTGCTTCAGGATGAGAACAGAAATCATGCTCCGGCGGCGCGGCAGCAGTAGGAGGCCCCATTAGCTAAAGTGGTGCTTCAAGTTAAGAACAGTTTCAGGTTAAGAACGGACCTCCAGAACAAATTAAGTTCTTAACCTGAGTTACCACTGTATTTAAGTCATTGGGGAAGAGAGAGATTACATGCTTCGGCTGTTCTCCTACCTAGTGTGTTAAGTTTATTCAAAGCTAGAGCTTCTCCTGAGTGTAGGTGCATAGTATTTCATCACCTGTAATCATTACATCATTGAAGATGGCATAAAAATAAAATGCAATTTCAGAATTTAAGCTTTTGTTATGGTTTTGTGTGTGCATTGGAACTGGCCTCTGTGTACTTAGGAATTTTCCTTTCCTCCTTGCACTCCCCGCTGCCCTGCTCTTTTTATTTGACCTTCTCTAAGATGTAATGGCCAAGGATATAGGACCTGGTAATTGGTGACCTAGCCTTGGTTTCTCCTTCTTTTGGGTAAGTGTCTGCCTTTGTGGCCGTGTTAAACTTGCAAAGCTTGATCAAGATTTCAAAGGACTTCCAAGAGGCCCTGAAGCTCCTGCACTGTCACAGCCGTTGCCTTATATTCAAATTGGCTCTATTTCCTGAAGAGCAACAGAAGTAAAACAATTCAGAGGTATCCCCAAATACTTCCGTTCTCATGATGAGGACATGTGTGTGGAAGTTTCTTTCCACGCTTTGCAGTTGCAGATTTGCCCATCATGGATTGCTGTTTCTGAATTGGTAAGCTAAAGACCCCAACTGACAGATATTGCAGAGTAGTTCTCAGCTGCTAGGCATCAGCTCTCAGTGATAGTATGTGCAAAACATTTAAATAGTGAAATAATTGGAACAACCTTATGTAGCTTATGGTAAGATTTTACATTCTGGTCCTAGAACCTCATTCTTTAGCATCTTTTACTAGATTGTTGCAAACATTTTTCCATTCTTGTTGAAGGGACGTTGAATATACCGGTAGTAGCTTTGGAGATCACATCCTTTTGGAAACTGGACACAACACTCCTGTGCTGGATATGGGGATGTGTTTGCCATACCATATATGGCCAAAATACCCAGCTGTTACAGTCTCAGTGACTATTTAAAGTTCAGGTTTTATTCTGGGGGTTTTGGGGGGTGGGAGTTGGCCTATATAAATGATTAGTCAACTACTGAAATCTTCCAAGTATGCAAGCAGGTAATGTTTTTGTTAAGTAGGTCTGACATTAAGTCTGCCTTGTGTCAGATATAATACTCAATGGAGTGACATTTCTTCCTTCTTACTTTGAAGGAAGGCAGGGATAATCAAGCCTACAAGTATAACTTTTTAGGTGGGATTAAAAAGTCAAGGTCCAGCTAACTGTAGGATTTTAAATCCTTTTAGCAAAGTCATAGTAAGATGAATACTAGAGTGGCTGGGGAAACTCAGCCAGATGGGCGGGGTATAAATAATAAATTATTATTATATTATTATTACTACATCTGATTTTGAGTGAGAGCTCTCTTGTTGTTCAAAATGCATGTTTTTGCTTCTAAAATAGTAGGTTAGACTTTGTGGCAGAGAGACAGCTTGCTCCAAACACACAAAATCGTAGATATAAAGAGGAACTTCTGATTCTGCTCTAATGATAGCTCATTTCTAATTTGAGCCTGAGTTTTGAATTTCAGATTTTCTTACAAGATTATAGTATAGTATAGAAATTCTAGATCCAGTTGTAAAAAAATTAACTGCTAAATTTCTTTAGTTATCTGGAGATATGGATTTTAACTTCTGCTGTTTAAGTTGTAATGGCTTCAGGTTCCAAAATGTAGCATAAATAGTTTTTTTGAATCAGATCATACATTTTGCTTTGAATATTTGTGGTTTTTATTACAACTAAAGTATGTTTTTAAATATTTAGACGTCACAAGGCTGAATTGGCAGCACAGCTGAGTTCAACATGGATAATTTGATCACACAAGAAGCAGGCTTGACGTTGATGGGTCTTTAAGCCTACTTCAAGCCTACCTTGTACAGGGATCAACAGTGCAATCTAGTCCCCACAGAGAGTCATCAGGTGATTGACAAGTGAATGACCTCACGAACATGTCAAATTTGGCCCACAAGGGGCAGGGGAAGATTGAGTGAAGGTATCAGAACTATGACTTATGTCATATTGGGCTACTGGACAGTTGAAAGTCAATAGAAATAAACTTTAAGAGGTACACTTGCTTAGTATGCAAGCATTCTAGATGCCTAGCAGGAAGGTATCTTACCTCCCACATGCTAGTCCAAGAGGAGGAAACATGGCTGAAAAGGCAATCTGAGGGGCCTAGGGTGCAACTTGGGTTGTCATCATGGGCAACCTGCAGGAAGAGATTATTAGTGGTCTGACTGGGGATGAAGAAGGCTATAAATCTATTTGGGACAATAGGTGAGGAAAATGGTGTCAGCAGAGGCTATGAGAGAAGCAGTGGAGGCTGGAGAAAGTTTGGGGTCTGCAATGTTGATATAAAAACTTTGGAATGTGCTGCTAAGGATACTTATCCCTCTTTAGTTATGGTAAATTGATTCTGCACTCTCTTCCCCTGATTCCCGTGTTACTTCTTGAAAGTGCCACAGTGATATTTAATTTCTGTTCTGAAAGGAAATCAAATATGACAATTGGCCATAAAATTCCCTGCCCAGCATCTTGTAGATTAAGCAATGGATTTCTTACACAATTTACTTGATCAGTTGAAGCGAGTGACTATTATTCAGCTGAATGGCGTAATAAATTTGAGCAAATTTGGATGATTAGGTTCCTGCCATACTTTGCTGGCAATGTAGTAATTAATGGTCTGTCCACATTTCCATTAGAACATCAATTTTTCAAGGGAGCTATAAATTTAAAAAAAGAAATCTGGTATGTTCAGAAATGTTGAGATCAAGGGCTCAGACTAAACTGTCTTCTCTACTAGATTTTACTGTTCCTGGTTTTTCAGCGCCAGCTACACTAGCTGCACATCTGGCATCTTATAAGATAAATATATTATTAACCACATGCCTTTAGTCACTAAAAAAATAGTGGCCTAAGAAGTCCCTTCTTGGTCCATGAAAGAACCATGTGTGCCTCTCACAGTGCTATCTTGTGGTTTATAGAGGACTATGCTATGATAGCATCACAAAATGTTCTTTCTTTTCCTTTTAAAAGCAGGGGTGGCAAGCCTGTGGGATGTATTCAGTGCGCCCCCCCCCATTTGCCTACTTTTTTAAATTACTTTTTTTAAGATGCAGACTGCTCACGTAAGTTCCCAACTGTACTGTTGTGGTGCAGAAAGGGTTCTTATACTACCACCACCCCGCTCCAAATTTGTCCTGACAGGGGTGTTACTGTGGGTCTTCTCTGTGTGCAGAGATACAGTGAATATTGGGTAATATGTAAACCCTTCCTTCCTCTGTTACTTCTAGCGTGCAGAGAAGTGGAAGCTAAAATAGGAGTCTGCAAGTGAAGGAGTAAGCTTTCTTTTCAGTTAATCCTGGCGTTCTATGACCAGATGAACAACAGATGGCAAGACAGTTGAGGGGATGTACCCTGCTGACACGCTGAAAGCTGGCCTTACAGAAGAATCTTCCTGTTCCATAAGATCGTATTCTGAGGTTTTAGGTGCCCTAACTTTCAGAAGTTAGAAGAGTGGTGTCCAGGGGTAGGGCCTCTTCTGTGTTGGCACTCTTAGTGTTGAATACATGCCCCCAGATAGCTGTTTGGCACCTGTCCTTTATATTTAAGACCCCCGTCAAACTGTGTTTCATGTTCTATTTAGGGCATTCAGTGGATGATTCCTGCCCCTCTTATTTTTATTTAATGCAGCTGCTATTTTTTTTACTGGATTTTGCTGTTTGCTGGTTCTATAGAGTATTGGACTAGATAACGCTCAGGGTCCCTTCCGACTCTGATTTGGATTCTATGATAGGATGCATCAAGAGGTGACAAGCAAGGAGGGTCCATCAGTTATTTTGGTGCTCCAGGAGATGATGCTGTCTCTCCTTTCCTGGAAGGAAAAAGTCTTAGAGCTACGCTCCCCCATAGTCCCCCTCCACCAAACCACTGTGTGATAGAGTAAGCAAAGACTTTACCCTCAATGGTGTCTCTGTGTACCCTACCCATGTGCCAGATGTAGAGTGCTGCTGCAAAGAAACCACTCCTATAAATCACTTTTATAAATCTTACCACTAATATAAATCCCAGATCTTCCTCTCCCCACCCCGTTTGAGGGCAGATAGGAAGTTGCTGTGTCTCAGTCCCTGTGCAAACCTGGGGAGCTAAAAATTAGAAAATCCTAAAGGAATTTTTGCTTTATCTCTGACATAGAATGAACAAGTCTCCAGGTGAAGGTGAGCTATTGAAGTGTCTCTGAGCAATTACTACGCTAACAAAACATTGCTGTGGTGCTCACCCACTTTTTAAAAAGGGGGTGGGGCAAGGCCACCCCAAGTGTGTGACAACAGTTGAGAGGAAAGTTTGTGCATGAATCTGCAACAAATGGGAAATGAAGCGGGCTCTTTGTGGGAGGAAGGCGATTAAATATCATGCAGGTAAAATATGCACTATGAATTTTACTACAGCACAAAGCTGCAGAGGCAAACAGAATGTAACCGCTTGAGTCATGTGGATGATGGATTACTCTGTTTCAGTTAAGTCCAAACACATGAGCAATAATTCCAAACAGAGCTAAGCAATAAAGCCTCCCTAACTGCAGCACAGATGCTACTTGCGACTTGAACAAGGGCCTTGGTATTTGTACTTAAGAGTCTATACACAAATTCCCCATGACATTAATGGCTGCAAATGAGCAATTGTGTTTGTGATCGGTTGTTTTAGAACACTAGGATCAGAAGCCTCTGAAAAGAGTTGTCATGCTTTCAGAGGAAATGGCTGGAACAGGTCTATTAAAACAGCCAAACCTATTTTAATTCCAACAGCTCCAGCTGTGTGTGGCTTGTATCTTTGTGGAAAAAGATTAAACAATGTTATCAGTGCTAAATCCATCAGTGATGGATAACATTGTGGCAAACATTTTGCTCTGTGTCTAAGATGTACCAGACGCTGCTGTGAAAGGAAATTATTTTACAACCTAAAAATGCATTTTTCAGAATCTGATCCCTATGATCTTATGTGGCAACATTAACTAAATGTATATACCATTTGTTAAGATTAAGGGCTCATAGTTTGGAGTGTGCCCTGTCCCTGCGCCGTATATGGGACCGTCTACATTGACCGTCATTGAGAGATGTAACAGATATATTCACACCTCAGTGGTTTATTTTATTGTAACTTCAGAACTTCTGACCTCCCCACAGTTTATTTTTATTAAGAATAATTTCCTGCCTTTTGCACTGATAGCAACCCTTACAGTGGCAACAATAAAATGTCTTTCTAAACAACGAACAGCAAAATAAAAACAGCCAGGACAACGTTCTGCTGTAGGCTATATTGATTTACTCTGCAGTAGTCTGTCCTGCAATGGCTTCAAAGCAATGTGTGTTAGTAAACCGACCATAACATTTTTTAAAAATGTAAGTCTGTTTATTAGAATGAACACTTGGTGCCTGACATGTTAACTCAAAACTATGTGTAGGATTGTAGCCTTTGGTAAAAATGGGATGCATTGTCTCACTGCATTCATCCTAACATACATTTCATAGTTGCAATATTATGCATGCTTTCTTTGAACTGTCTCATTTCACTCAATGGATTTATTTCTCTGCAAAAGGCAAAATCCCAAAGTGTTTTACTGGGCAGGCACCAGTAAATAGGGGTTACTCCTGTTTTTTAAAAAATAAATAATGAAGTGATTTTGAGAGTTCAAGCTTGGAAACCGTCCCCAGAAATACCCACCAGGGAGCACAAATGACTTGGGGTGAATGAACAGGGGGGTTTTTCATCATCTGTTTACGCAGAAGTTCAACACATATTTTCAGAGACCCTCCTCTGCATGGTCAAATAATGCTAATGTCCAAGGGCTAAATTTTTTTGAACATTTGTGTCTTTGCTGTCTATTTCAAAAGTTACATTTCTAATATGTTTAACAGATTGCTGTACCTCAGATGTGGAGGGGGGAACCTACAGTTCTCCAGATGTTGTTGCGCTACAGCTTCCATCATCTTATGACCATTGGCCATGTTGGCTGGGGATGATAGGAGCTGGGAGTCCAACAGCATCCGGAGAGCTACAGGTTCGTCACCCTGTTCTAGCTGTTGAGATTCAACTTGCTTTCTAAATTGCCTTTTCAAGCATTTGTGTGTGTGTTTTTATCATGTATTTTATAGCTTTGTAGGTGAATGATCCTGGTGTGATGTGGCTGCCTTTTCAAATTGTATTAGTCTGGTTTGTGATTTGTAATGTGGTAGTGTCATTTTTGCAGTGTTTTTGCTATTGTGCGATGTTCTTACTGTGAGCTGCTCTGAAAGCCCTAGGGCAGGAAAGCAGGGTTAAAAAATCTAAATATAGACAAACTTTTTGCTGATGGGTTTTTATAACACTTCAAAGCCTTTAGGGAAGTCCCTTATTAGCTGAAACTAATTTTCATTATTGTGTTGTCGAATCTAACCTTTAATTACTGAGATGCTTTGGTCTCTTTTGAGGGCAAAACAACTGAACTTTTCCACTCTGCTCTCTGGGGTAGCAACAGAATTGCTGACAGATCAGATGATGGACCAATTCATTGGGATGTAGTGTTTGCCTGTTTGTGTGTCATTCTTCGATTCAGGAATCTAGTGTGTTGGGCAGGTGCTTCAGTGGAGATGCAGCAAATTAATTTGGCTGCCTACCGTGTCCAAGCAGCTGGAAGTCAAGGTTTCTTTTGCAAAGGGTATAAGGTGGCCAAAGCCAGTGCAGGGATCCCACTAATGCCAGGTAGCACATTTTAGGTCTTCCATGTGCATTCTTTAGAAGGATGTTGGTTGCTTCCTCACCATAGCAATTTAGTGCTTCAGAGACACTGCTTCTAACAAGTCAGCTGGAATTACAACATTGACTTCATATAGCACTTGACATAACACTATTTTCCCCCATTAAAAATCTGTCAAATCCTAGACTTATGGGTGAGAGCTTAAATATGGATTTACTCAGAAGTAAGTCCCATTCATTAAAGATGCTGCTTCTCCCTGCCACTGTCTGCTTAAAATATGCTCCTGATTATTCCTTGGCAACTGGTGCCTTTTAAACTTGGTGCCAAATGCAAGCCCTGCTGGGGTTGATTCCGCTCAGTAGCTGTGAATTGGAGCTCCCAAGTGACATCAATCTCTGCCAGAAGTGGAGCTTGAAGACAGCATCAATCAGCTGATCTGCATTGACTTCAAGCTCTGCTTGGATTGGCTGGTATCTTCCTTTGCAAGACAACTTGAGCTCAAAGAAAAATGGATCGCCTGACATCATGGTGATGCTACCAGACTGATGAGTGGGTGGGTAGCTGTGTCCACCTGTCAAAATGGCCCTCAAAGGGTGGGTGAGCTTGTGATTTAGCCTGCCAGCCAGATCCTGTTTCGCATCCCAGAATTAACACAGTATCCTAAATAGTGCTTTGCTAGTGTTATAGGGTGGTGCTGCAAATGCTTTTTAAACAGAAACAAATGGCATAAGATAAAATAGGAGAATACAGAAAATACTAGAATGCAACAGGTTGGGAAAATCACTCAGTTTTCAGAGAATCTCAATGAATGAATGATACCCATTGGTCACATATACAACTGGTTAGGAACCCACAAAGGGTCCACAACCGCTCTTGCAGAAGGATGCTAACAGAAGGTTTGAATGGTACTTAAACAAGTTCTCTTTTGGATGAGAGGTTGAACCTGATGGATGAATACTTTAAAGACAGATTAAAATCCATCAAAATGCTTAAGAATCACATGAGTGAGAAAGAGCCTTAAGCATAATATTGCATTTTTGTCTGCCTTTCCTTCCAGCCTAAAGGAGATAGATCTGGCAGAGCTGGGGGATTCTGGAGTCAATGTGAAAATCATTGCAGCCCCTATCAATCCATCTGACATCAATATGATTCAAGGTAACCTTGGCTTGCATGCAGACAGTTTCATTCTTGCTCCCCATATCATTTCTTCATATAATGCAGTCAGATAAGGCAAAATAGATTGTCTGAATTTAATGATATACCCTGTGGAATATACCACAGGGGTTACATGGCCAACTTTCCTTCTTCTGCGCGTGCACACACACACACAATTTGAGTCAGGTTGAATTCCTTTCCATCTCTGAAAACAATGTTTTCTAAGGGCCATGTCTGTCACTGTGTGCCATGCAAGTTATTAATGTTGTCTAAATACTTGGAGGGACGTGGGTGGCGCTGTGGGTAAAAGCCTCAGCACCTAGGGCTTGCTGATCGAAAGGTCGGCGGTTCGAATCCCCGCAGCGGGGTGCGCTCCTGTTGCTCGGTCCCAGCGCCTGCCAACCTAGCAGTTCGAAAGCACCTCTGGGTGCAGTAGATAAATAGGGACCGCTTACTGGCGGGAAGGTAAACGGCGTTCCATGTGCTGTGCTGGCTCGCCAGATGCAGCTTGTCACGCTGGCCACATGACCCGGAAGTGTCTCCGGACAGCGCTGGCCCCTGGCCTCTTAAGTGAGATGGGCGCACAACCCTAGAGTCTGTCAAGACTGGCCCGTACGGGCAGGGGTACCTTTACCTTTAAATACTTGGAACGATTTGGCCACCAGATACATATAGGCATCAAAGCTCCATAAAGTGCATAAATATTCATATGTGCTTTTCAGTAGTGATGCTATCCACTTAATACTGAAGAGCGAAAGCAAGAAGTAGCAGGAAGAGATGTTCTCCTTACCCCTCAACTTGCAGATTCTCTCCCAACATGCTCCCTCCCAGATTGGCTCTGACTGGTTTAGGCAGTAGCATATTCTAGAAGGCAGCAATTGCCATTCAGCTGTTTCAGCTTCCGCTCCCTGTTCAGCAGCAACAAATTAAAATGATTGTGTAGGAATTGGCCCTTGTGCCTCTGGCATGGGGTGAAGGTCCCCTATGTGTTGTGTTTAGGAGTACATGGAGGGTATGAAGGTGCCAGAACATCCAAAGCAGGTGTGCGAAACCTGTAAACTCCACGCCCTCCAAACCCTCCAAACATTGGACTACAACTTCCATCATTCCTGACCACTGGCAATACTGAATGGGACTGATGGAAGTTAAAGAAACCAATGACAGCTGGGAGGCAACTGGAACCCCATCCCTGAACTAGGGACCTGAGAGAAGGATGCAACTTCATTCACAGAGACAGAGAGTGAGTGTTCCAACTGCTGCTGTGACAGATTTACCACTTTTTGTTTACTTAAGTTGTAAATTGTCTTTTAGTTTATGTTCATTGTTAACCACCTTGGAAACTATTCTGATTGAAAGATGGGTGTTTCAGTCATAAGTAACGAATGCTCATATGCCTGTCACATTCTGGCATCTTGTTTCTGAATATGAAGAAAAAATGAAGCAAGACTGAATATTGGCTTATTCCCAATAACTGCTTGGATGTTTTATGGTATAGTTGTCATCTTGCAGGGACGTATGCTACTCTGCCTGACTTGCCTGCGGTTGGTGGGAATGAAGGAGTTGGACAAGTGATTGAAGCTGGGAGTCGTGTGACTTCTCTGAAGCCAGGTGATTTGGTTATCCCAGCTGATGCAGGACTTGGTGAGCTTGAATAACTTTTTTAAACAATTAACTAAGGAAAAATTGGCTCTGTGACTAGATAAGAGAAAGGAAACATACTCATCAAGGGCCATAACCCGTCTGATAGTCTGATTCCCCAGTTTAAAGAAAGATGCCCTCTTTTGCTGTACATCTACAAAGACATGCACTTGAAAATCTCTGATGAAGATACAGTAGCGCCCACCTGCTTTCATCAATCAACTTACAATTTATGCCTAAGTGGGCAGAGTTTGCAGCATTTGGTGGATAGCCAAAAATTAATTATGTGACCTTCAGCAATAGTGCTTGTATTTTCTCCTCATGGGACAAAGAGAAACTTCTGAAGCCAGGGATTAATAAAATAGGGGAGGGGGGTGGTTTAAAAGTTGTGCACTGCAATGGTCATTGCCTGCTTCATAGATACCCATAGTATGTTTACCTCTTAAACAACAACAGAAAATCAGGAGGTCTAATCAGTTCTCTTATCATACCAACTTAGGCCTGAAAAGAGAACAGCCCTGATGTTCTTCCAAGAAAATATTTGTGACCCAGCAACAGGCAAAAACTCAATTTATTTTCTTCTTTGCTCTTAGGCATGTCAGTAAACATTTTGAAACCACTAGCTTGCAGGAATTGAGCTATTCATAATTTTTGACCTATTTCTTGAACTGGAAGCTTCTAACTTAAGCTGCTTGTTTCTAGCTGCACTCTTTGCCCAAATTGGACTTTTTTCTTTAATCCCTCAAATCAGGAACATGGCGAACAGAGGCAATATTTGGTGAGGAGACCCTGCTGAAAATTCCTCCTGATATCCCATTAACGTGTGCTGCCACTTTAAGTGTCAACCCCTGCACAGCTTATCGGATGTTGTCGGACTTTGAGGTCTTGAAGCCAGGTGTGTACTGACAATGTGTTTTGTAGTATTTATACATCATGAGCAAATTTACCAACTGGACATCATGCCCTGCTTTGGAGCTACACAGAGGCATCTGGTTGACCATTGGAGAAACCACTGGCCCTTTGTTATAATCCAGCTGATCTGTACTTGAGTTATAAGATGCATCACTAGACTCTCTAGCAAGGATGCAGGGAGGAACAGAGGTGAGGGATGAGCAAAAGAACTCTAACTTGCTTTGCTCATCTTAATTACCTTTTAGTCTGGACAGCATAATCATGTCGACAGGTCTTCTCAATTATTGCTCCTTCATCATGAATTTCATCCCCTGGGAGAATTTCCAAAGTTCAAGTCTGAGCCTGTTCGAGAAGCAGCATAAGATGAATTTTTGTTCTGTTTTTCCCAAGTGACTTTATGTGGCCAGAAACAGGGAGGGGGAAGAGTGAAACTCGGGCAGTGGAATAATTGCAACTGAGGCTGTATGGTTCTTGTTGTGCTTTCATTCCTAGGCCACCTCTGCCTTGCCACTCAGATTTTTGTCTTCATTCATATTTCATTATCATCCCTTCTTCCTCCACCACCAAACACTCTGACTTCTCTGTTTTTTGTTTATTATCAACCGGTAGTGATTTAGCACAGACATTGATACCAGAATCTATAGCTGATGATGGAAATAACAAGATTTTAGCAATGGTCGACCATTTTATCATTTCTAGAGCTAACCCTTCAAATTAGGACTGAAAGGGGTGATGGGTTCCTACTAAGAACAACGTGGATTGTGGCTTCTCAGAATCTGTTGCATTTATGTCCTGCTTGTGGGCTTCCCATAGACCATTGTGAGCAGAATGATGGACTAGAGAAACATTTGGTCTGACCCAGCAGGGTTGCTCTTGTGTTTTAGATTCTGTAACAGAATGAAAATTAGCAAACTCCACCAAAGGAAATGAAAGGGAATCTTAAACAGAGATGCATCTGTTTGTCTGCAGGAGATTCAGTCATCCAAAATGCAGCCAATAGTGGAGTGGGGCAGGCCGTCATCCAGATCGCAGCAGCCAAGGGGTTCAAAACAATAAATGTGGTCAGAGATAGGTGAGTGTACAGTGAAACTGCTCATCCTGAATATCTTTTCTATTTTGCTTTGGCCCAAACAGCTCCCCTAGTTGCTGCTTGGCTTGGCTTGGCAGGAGATGATATTCTCTTGGTTGTTGTTGTTTAGTCGTTTAGTCATGTCCGACTCTTCGTGACCCCATGGACCAGAGCACGCCAGGCACTTCTGTCTTCCACTGCCTCCCGCAGTTTGGTCAAACTCATGCTGGTAGCTTCGAGAACACTATCCAACCATCTCTGTCGTCCCCTTCTCCTTGTATTCTCTTGGTAGCAATTCCCAAAGTTAGAGTTAAGCAGGTAAATGCATTACAGTCCTGCAACATGATCATAATGTAGGTTTTTTAAAGTGTAGCTTAACTTTCAGCAGTTACAGACAAAACCAGGTGCAAATTAAGAGTTCCACAATTTCTTAAAGAAAAGAAAACTTTTTAAACTGCCACAGAGACTGTTTTGGAGGGGGTGTTAACTGGAGTGGTGCCGTGTTTAGTATGTTGGACTAGGACCCAGGAGGCCAGGGTTCAAATCCCCACTCAGCCATGAAGCTAACTTGGGCCAAGTGACCTTGGGCCAGTCAGGATGGCTCAGTTGGTTAAAGTGTGGTGCTGATAACGCCAAGGCTGCAGGTTCAATCCCCATTAAAGGGGGTTGGACTGTATGATCCTCAGGGTCCCTTCCAACTCTATGATTCTGTGACTTCTCTATGACTGTTTCTCAGCCTAATCTGTGTCACAGAGTGGTTGTGTTGATGAAGTGGAGAGGGAAAGGACTATATATGCCACCTTGTGCTCCTTGGAGAAAAAGGTGGGATTAAATGTAACATAATAATAATTTAAAAAATAGAAGAGGGGAATCATAACCTTTCCCATCTGTGCTCCCCCCCGCCACCCCCTTCATTGAAATCTTTATCCTCAACCACTACTCAGAAATTGCTGTTATCTTCTCTGGGGGCAAAAGACAGTCACAGTTTAAGTATGTTATCTTTGTCCTTCAATGTGGTTAATGCAGCATGAGGAGAGGGCCAAATATATGCCCCACCCCAAGAATGTAAGAACAGCCTTGCTGGATCAGGGCAGTCAGGCCCATCTAATCTAAGGGAAGTGTTCTCTTCTCACAATAGCTAGTCAGATGTCTATGGAAAGCCACAAACAGGACATGAGCACAATAGCACATTCCCATTAGTATTCTCCACAACTAGTATTCTGATACTGGAGGTTGTATGTATCCATCATGTTTTATCTTCCATGATTTTGCCTAATCTCTTTTGAAAGCTGTTGAAATTAGCTGCCATGAGTACATCTTGTGGTATCAGTTTTCATAGTTTAACTATTTGCAATATTTCCTCTTCCCTGTTCTGAATCTCCCACCATTCAACTTCATGGGATGCTCCCAATGAGTTAGATGAGAGAAGAACAATTCCTTAGCCACTAACTGTACACTAGGCATCATTTTAAACATCTGCTTCACCTCTTCCCAGCTTTCCTACCTCTTCACTGCTTCACATGCAGTGTTACATTAACCTATGGGTGTCTGAGTTTAGTTAATAATAATAATTGCTATTAACTACTATATTATTATTATTTAAAGAAGTGTTTAATTGACTACATTTCTTCCAAACCCTCAATGAAAAGTGGGCATGTGGATGTCTGATTAAAAGGGATTTATTTTGAAGAAGAGGAAGAAGAGTTTGGATTTGATATCCCGCCTTTCACTCCCCTTCAGGAGTCTCAAAGTGGCTAACATTCTCCTTTCCCTTCCTCCCCCACAACAAACACTCTGTGAGGTGAGTGAGGCTGAGAGACTTCAAAGAAGTGTGACTGGCCCAAGGTCACCCAGCAGCTGCATGTGGAGGAGCAGAGACGCGAACCCGGTTCCCCAGATTACAAGACTACCGCTCTTAACCACTACACCACACTGGCTCTCATTTTGGAGAAGAGTAGAGAAATGGAAGTGGCATGGCTGATGGCTCCCACACTATGGTTTCTGGATTATAATCTACTTAGGTGTCTGAGCAATTGGCAAGTGGTTCCCTCAGCAACGTATTCTGAGGAAGCTTCTTCAGTGACTGACTGCAGGAAGAACAGCAGAAGCTCTTCCTTTTCTCACTAAATGAGGACTTGGGTTCACATGATGGCGTGTACAAGAAGATGTTCTCCCTCACTACTGTGCAGCATGGCATGGTAAACAGTGGGTCTTAACATTAACTAGATTCCTTTTTCATTTGTCCTTTTTTCCCAGACCCAATCTCCAGGAGCTTGTAGACAGACTGAAGTCCCTTGGAGCAGACCATGTCGTCACAGAGGAGGTGCTGAGAAAACCGGAAGTAAAAGAGCTGTTTAAGGTATAAGTGAAAACCAGATTTCTGGAGGACAGAGATGGCAAAGGAAAACAGAGTTGCCGCAGTGAATCACTACTGATTGATAATAAATGAAACAAAACAGACAGAGAAGACAGAGTGTTTGGTGGTGGTAGAGTGGAAGATAATGAAATATGAACAAAGACAAAAATCTGAGTGGCAAGGCAGAGGTGGCCTAGGACTGACACCACAACAAAACCCATACAGCCTCAGTTGCAATTATTCCCCTTAAAACTGAAGTCAGATTTTCTGCATTCCTTTCTGTTTCTCCTCCTGTCTGCCCAGAAGCTGCCTCCTCGTATTATGGGCCAAACCATGAATCTTTTCAAAAATTCAACTCAGTTGCATCCTAGAGATAAAAGATTCCAGCTCATAGGAGTCTTGATTATAGTTGTATTGAATGACACAAAATGAGCCAGGATCAGGTGTATGTGTCTCTTTGTGAGAATCCCTTCTGAGAGGTTGACATCTTGGAGCTAAAGCAGCAAACGCATGCAGTGAGGGGGGAGGCAGTAAAAGAAGGAGCTTATTTTCTGTGCAATCTCTTGTTCTCCAGAAAATCCCTAGGCCCATATTAGCTTTGAATGGCGTTGGAGGGAAAAGTGCCACTGAGTTGCTGCGTCACCTCCAGTAAGTTCAGCTCTTTGTTGGGGGTGCATTTTAAGGGTTTACTAAATGCCTTTGTCTTGCTGTTTTTAACTGCTTGTATATTTCATATTTTAAACATTTTAAATATTTGCATTGTGAACTACTCTGGGATAAATATTTAAATAAATGTACAGTATTTAAATAGTGTTGCCTGTGGCTGGAATCCTCTAGTTCACAGTGCAGATTTACAAAATCCTCTCTTGGGTGTGTGCACTCATGTTTCTTGAAGAAACAAGATTGTGGGTGAATTGAAAGTCTTTATACCTAATGTAAAAAAAAGAGAGTTTTCCCAAGGATATGAGATTCCAGCTCCCAGCAGTCTTAATTGTAGTTATATTGATCATTATCACAGAGGTTCAGCATGGGTAACATTTAAGAGAGAAATTAAGATGCGTTAAAAGACATCGAATACCTTACTTGTTGAGCTAGTAACTTTCAAAGGCCTGTCAGTGCTAAAGGGTCTCTTTTGCTGAATCTTGAGCATGCTTGAGTTTCATGTTCTGAGGGAATAAAGTTCTACATCTATATCTTCCACGAAAGACTACTATGCCCAGTAGCTGTTTGAACACAGATCATGGAAGGACTGAAACCTACTCTTGAGCAAACTTAGCTGTCATCATGACTGGACACAGGAAGGGGGTTGGTATCCTGATTGGGACCCCACTAGTTTGGGGCTTTATTGATCAAAGGTGGCTTGTGTTCCATAATTTAGTGTAGCCGCTTGAAATTACCTTGAAGGCCTGCCAGGTTCGGCAGACGCACTGCCAGGAGCCACCCTATTATTTAAAGGCAGACAATTGCCCAGGGCCACAAACCTGCAGATGTTCTTTCTGAAAAGGAACAGATCTCTCTTAGTCATAGACTTTAGGCAATAGACAAGGTGGATTCTGAATGCCAGTTGCAGGAAATCACAGGTGAGGAGAGTGCTGCTGTGCTCAGGTTCTGTTTGCAGGCTTCCCATGGGCATCTGGTCGGCCACTGTGAGAAGAGCAGGATGCTGGACTAGGTGAGCCTTTGGCCTGATCCAGCAGGCTGTTCTGAAAGGGTCCCTATGCACTTTTGTACCCTAACTCACCTTCCCAATATTTTGCTTGATCTAAATTTAAGACATTTTTCTCAGGAAAAGGAATAGCATTCTGGTATTTGTGCAGTACTGTTTACTGTGAACTATTGGGCTGTGCTGCTTACAAATTAATCCTGGTAATATTAGCCAGATATCCAGGAGATGAGAGAAGCTGGTCAACAAAGTAGACTTGAGTGCCGAAGTAAGAGGATATGCTTGTTGCCTGGAAATGGAAAAGCCCGACCATTTAATCTTCTAATCTCACTGCTAATTCTTCCTATAGGCACAAAGGGACCATGGTTACCTATGGTGGAATGTCAAAGCAGCCTATAACAGCCCCTGTGGTGAGTAGCCATGAGATTTCTGTGGTTTACTTAATTTTTTTCTGCACTTTTCCATTTGTTAAGGGGCAATAGCTTATTCCTGTTGTGTTTCTCCTTGCAACGAGTCATCTCTTTCTTGGGCAGAGTGCCAAATTCTTCGCATCTATGGGGCAAAACCATTCTCATGCCAGGTCATGTTGTCCTCCAAAATGTCCTCCGAAAGAAAATATATTGCAGAGTTTTCATAATCCCTCTGCTTTTTTCTGCAGAGTGCACTGATCTTTAAGGATGTGAAACTTCGTGGCTTTTGGATGACCCAGTGGAAGAGGGACAACGCACAGAGTAAGTGATGGTAATGTGCAATGGTGAAATAGGGTTTGGAAGAAAAGAGCAGGGTGATGTGTGGTCCCGTATATTGATGAGAGAGAACTCTGCCTGAGATCCTGGAGAACCCCTTATCGTCAGAGAGGCATTAGCTGACTTTGAGCTGGTTTCTGAGCATCTCTGCTATCCGGTTTTAGTGTTGGAATCTCTGATCTGTAGTAAAATGAATGTAAATGTGCAGTTGCATGTTATACCAGTAGTATGCTGTAGATAATTCGCTCTGCCCCCTGAGCCGCTCTTTGGCATCTTAGCCCACCTCACAGGCCACTGCTCTGCACCTGACTCCAATTGCTGAACATCAAGATCTAGTTTAAACAACAAAAGAAACCACTCCTGTTCTATCCAGCACACAAAAGAGGTATCCTGAACTGTGTTAGAACAGAACATAAGAGGAGCCTGCTGGATCAGCTCAATGGCCCATCTAGTCCAGCATCATTTTCTCCCAGTAGCAAAATAGACGCCGATGGAACTAGCATGCAGGGTCTGAAGGCAAGGGCCCTCTCCCCTTCTGTGGTCTCCAGTGACTAGTATTCAGATGCATTACGGCCTCCAGCTCAAGTTGGAATTTCAGTATCTCTGCCCTGAACAACATCCATAAGTTGTTTGTGTCGCTTTTGACTTCCCTACTTCTAAACAATCAAAATCTGCTTATTAGTAGCAGTAGATTTATTAGCATCATTGCCTTTTTCATTCTCATGCCAGGACTTGTTCAATGTAAGCTCAGTTGTTTTTGAGAACATTTAATATGTACTCTGCTTTGTTTCCTGTATACAGACAAAGAGAAACTGAGAGGAATGATTGAAGATCTATGTGATCTCATTCGTAAGGGTCAGCTCACAGCTCCAGCCTGCCAAGAAGTCCCACTGATAGACTACCAAGCTGCTTTGGAGTCTTCCATGAAGCCCTATGTATCAGCTAAACAGATCCTTGTTATGTGAAGCCGGTCTGATGGGGAAATTTGTACACAGCCTGTTCAGATGGAGGTCAGGCCCAGCTGGTTTCAGGGCTCCCAAGACTAGAGAACTGAACTTTTTCAAAGCTCCATGCCCTGCAGCTTGGCAGAGGGGGAACTGTGGGGGGCAAATGACCCAGACTATCCAGTAATAGTGGTGGTGGGAGATTAAAGCTCTTGTTTCTATATGACTAGGAAACACTGGTTTCATGGCAGAAGGTGGGGTGGAGGATGACCTAGGGAGACTTTCCCTCAGTGTACCCTGATCTAGATTTTCAGTGAAGGAACTGTACAAAAGCTGCTGTGTGCTCAAATTTCTTCCTCCTATAGCACACTTTTTGCTGGCTTTTCTGCACTTCAGCTCTGCTTCTGCAGATCGATTGCATTTTCTAGGATCAGGTACTACTGCATAATTGGGTATTTGGCCTTCTTTAGATGGAGAATAGCTTTTGAATTATGGACAGCAAAACCTGTCCATTTCCTACAGATCTTTCTTTTGTTTCTTTTCCACTTGTAACACTTACTGTGTTTGTCCTTGTCTTAAGTAGCAATGTGCTCCCACCATTCAAAATCAGGCATAAAAGTGATTGTACATTAGTGGCATAATGTTTTATATGGGAAGACAGATCTGGTCAAGACTTCAGGAAAAGTGAGGCTTGCCTACTAGCCCTCTTAATGTCTAGTGCGTTCTAATTCACATTGTTGGTCCATTAGCGATGGGCAACATGAGCTGTATCCAGCCTACCAAGGCTTTTCCCCTGGAGTTACCACTTTGCAGATTACTTTCCGAGAGCATTGATGTGTCAGATGCAGCCTGCAGTCCTCAAGTGTCATCCTCCTAATCTGTATATAACACATAGAAAGACTACTTTAAAATTGGTTATTTATATCAAGACTGTTGTAACTGAAATGAAGGCAAATTGTATTTGATTGCAAACCTGTTCTTGCAGAACCGTGTAATGACCGTTGAAATGCCAATGATTTTTGTTTCCAATAAAATTCTCTAGCTCTGATCAGTGATGAGATTTTTGCTGAAGCTTAGTAATAGGCTATGGCACTCTTGAAGCTGTTCAGTCACGTAGTGTTGCTATATCAGCCTCTGGGATATTTCATGGTATTGCTTTAATAGCTTATATGGTGCTTTCACACATTAGACTTGGGCAGTGTAGAAGCTTGTATGTTTATACGCATTAGCACACACACACATAAGCATAAAATGAGAACGGCTGTGCTGGGCTTTGATGAAAGTTATCAGTGCATGGACTAATTATGATGAGAAAGTATATCAGGCCCACAGAGATTGGAGATAAAACAATAGAAATGTTTTAAGCCCAGAGAGAAATTGTGTGATAGCCCTGGCAAAATCAGTCAATATTTCTTTTAATTCTAGAGTATGAATTGATTTTCTAAGTGTTGGTGATACCATGAACTTGAAGAATTTGGGATTTCAAAGGGCCTGTTTTTAGGGATCATTTTGAACATTTTGATTGCCCCTTTCCAGCTCTACAATATCTTTATTTTATTTTATTTTTTGCAGTGACCAAAACTACACCAGAGCTTTCCAAACTGTGTGGCGCAATACGTTAGTGTGTCAGCTGCAGTGTGTAGGTGTGTCATGTGAACACTCCCTGTGCTCCTCTTGGGGCTGGGAAGGGGTTAGTTTAACCTCCATTTTGCTACTAAAAATGAATGACTGTGTCACAAAATGATGCATGTCTAAAAAGTATGTCACCAACGTGAAAAGTTTTGAAAGCTCAGCTCTGCACAGTATTCCAAGTGTGGTCTCACATAGATTTTTATAATGGCAGTTTGCTTTTCCTAATGATCCCTAACATGGAATTTGCCACTTTCCACAGCTGCCCCACATTTCCATTGAGCTATCCAATACAACCCCAAGATCTCATTCCTGGTTAGTTACTGCCAGTCCAGGCCCCATTAGTATATATGTTGTAAGCAGTCCTGAGTAGTTATTTTGCATCAGCAGGATATAAATCTTTTAATAAACAAAAGACAATGATATTACAGTACATATAGTTGTACAAAAACAGTAATTCTAAGGAGGAGGAAACATTGTTTCAGTATGTGTGTGCTGCAGCAGATGACACCATAGACTCCAGAGGCACCTCCCTTCTTGCACTGGAAGGAGTGCCTATCTTAGATGGTGCTTGCCCTCTGCAGTTTTTGTAAGGTATTTAAAATATTTTCTAAAATTAGCAATTTGTTTGTTTAATCAAGGCCACATTGTAAGCTGATATTTGAAATTGATTAACAGCTAAATGCTGCAGTCTGCTTAGGCACCCTTGTCAGCCTGTCTTTTTCAAATGGAACGCTGGAAGAATCTGCCATACACTGCCAAAATCAGACTATATGTCCATCTAGGTCAGCATTCTCTATTCTAGGGTCTCTGGCAGTGGTCCTTCACATTCCCTTCTACCTGGGATTCATTTAACTTTGGAATGGAAAACCTGTGATGCTCCAAGTGTTGGACTCAAATTTCCCCGATCTCTGACTATTGACAATGCTGGCTGTGGCTGATGGGATTTGGAATCCAATAACAGCTAGAAGTTTGCAGGATCCCCATCCCTGATTTAACTGAAGAAACCTGAAATTGAAACTGGGACCTTTTGCATGCTCCATGGTCCCTTTCCGATGAGCACGGAGTGCCTTGCGCTGTGTGTTGATGTGAAGAAGTGAGGCCGCTTTGAGCTTAAAGAAGGCTGTCTGTGTTGGAGCAGGCAAGGTAAGTCACGAGTTCTCCGCTGCAAATCATGATGAAGAGGCCGCTGGCTGCAAAGGGAAGGTAAATCAGCATATGAAATATTGTCTAAATTAACCTAATCCTCTGCTAATAATTTATTTAAGATTACATCATTCCTTTCTGACTGATTACAGGTTTCTAAGGTGGTTTACAGGAACTCGCAACCAAGTAAGACTAAGGAAAGAAATAAGGCAGCTGGAGGGCATCACATACCCTACTGCAGGGGTCAGCAACCTTTTCCAGCCATGGGTCCACTGTCCCTCAGACCATGTGGTGAGCCGGACTATATGGGGGGGGGAGAACGAATTCCTATGCCCCACAAATAACCCAGAGATGCATTTTAAATAAAGCACACATTCTACTCGTGTAAAAAACATCAGGCAGGCCCCACAAATAACCCAGAGATGCATTTTAAATAAAAGGACACATTCTACCCATGTGAAAACACGAGGATTCCGGACCGTCCGCGGGCTGGATTTAGAAGGCGATTGGGCCGCATCTGGCCCCCGGCCTTAGGTTGCCTACCCCTTCCCTACTGCAAGGTAGCCTAACAATGCTGTTAATGTTGCTGCAGCAACTTCCTCCCTTTCAAAGCTTACCAATGACCACAGGGGAAAATACCTCCTTAGAAGAAATGGACTACCTAGCAACCAGTGTCAGGAATTCTTAGGGCACTTACTCTTGGGCAGCTGGGTAACTTGTGGGTCCTGGCTCTTCCTTGCAGTGGGGACTGAAGAATGTATATTACTAGGTGTTCTCTAACTTCTTGTAGCTTGAAAGAGGGGGTTTGATGAGTGGGGCACAGCTTTATGCAGATCCACTCTTTGCTCATGTTTTTGTCCCTTTGCTGCCTGTTCATGGTCCTGTTAGTAGCAAATCCACCACTACTGGACATCATTTTGCTCTCCTTTACCCAAGAGAAGCCGGAATGAGACCAGGAAGCATTGCCCTTCTGAGCTGACATAATCATATAACTAGCCAATGAGAGTTAGCAGATCAGAGTGAAGGCAGGAAACATGTTTTCAGGTTCTTCCTGACAAAATCAACAAAACTGGGTGGTCTGGCACAGCACGGTGAAAGTGAGAGGGCCACCTTGACCCAGCCCTCAACACCCTGTCAGCCAGAGGTGTGAACTCCCAAACAAAGCAATGCATGTTGGATTGATTTTGAATATTGCAGACCTTATACTATCCCTTCGAAAGCAGAGTTGGCTTTTTAAAAATCATCTTACAAGCGCCAGCCACCATTGCCAAACCAGAGGAATTCTTTCATTACTGCAAAAGACAGGTCAGAAAAGTCAGCTGCAAAGTTGGAGATATGCCAGTGTCACTATACTGTAAAGCAGAGGTCAGCAAACATTTTTGGGAGGGGGCCGGTTCACCATCCCCGGACATAGTAGCGGGCCGGACTGTGTGCGCAGAAGCACGCGCACGCGATGGAGGGGCTTCTCTCTCCCCCAGCCCCTCCCCTTCCCCTGCCTCCTCCGCCACCACTCTGCCTGCGGTTGGGAGCCAGCGGCGGTGGCGGCACCTCTCCTTTTCGTGCCAGCTTTCCCCGGCAACAGGCCAGCAGGCGCACCAAGCTCCAGCCCACAGCGCGGCCATGGGAGAGGCCGTTGGGTAAGGCGGCAAGGCTTCCTATCAAAGCCCAGCCCCCTTTCTCTGCAGGGTGGGGAGAAGCCGGGAGGAGAACGCCACCACGGTGAGGGAGGGAGGGGGGCAAATCACCCAAAAAATGGCGACCAAAAAAAATGGCGATCGCACCGATCCAAGCAGCGATGCAGAACCATTCACGGGCCAGATCCAGAGGGCAATTGGGCTAGAATGCAGCCCGCGGACCTTAGTTTGCCAATCCCTGCTGTAAAAGATAATTTATTTGGTAGGAAAGAACGGATCGGAGAAATGTGGCATTCCAGGGTCCAAGATCCCTTTGC